TTCTTATTCTTTTTTCAGCTTTTACAAAAAACAATTCAGTTTTTACAAAAAAATATTATTGTTTTTCAGTTTTTTAAAGAATTTTTTTTTGTAAAAAATTTGTAAAAACAGAAAAAAATTGTTTTTAATAAAATATTTCATTTTTTAAAAACTGAAAAAAATATGTTCGTTTTTGAAAAAATATTTTTTTTCATTTTTTTCAGTTTTTTTAAAGCATTTTTTTTATAAAAACTGGAAAAACAAATTTGTAAAAACTGAAAAAAATATTTTCGTTTTTAACAAAATATTTTGTTTTTTAAAAACTGAAAATTTTTTAACAAAATGAATAAAATGAAAAAAAGATATTTTTCAAAAACGAAAATATTTTGTTGAAAATATTTTTCAGTTTTTAAAAAAAGAAAATATTTTTGTTAAAAACAATTTTTTTTTCTTTTTTCAGTTCTTACAAAAATAATGCTTTAAAAAAACTAAAAAAAAATGAAAAGAAAATATTTTTTTGTAAAACTGAAAAAAAGACTTTACTAAATTAGTGGACTACTGGTGCTTTAGTTTAAAAAAACAAAATATATTTTTTTTAAGTAATTATTTTCAATTCAGCATTGACCTAATGGTCAAAGGGCATAAGTGAACAAAAAAGGTGGATGGAGGGGTATTTTTAGCACAATAGGTGGATGAAGGGTATTTTTAAACCTTTTCCAATAGTTTAGGGGCATTTTGAACCCTTTTCCGTAGAATAAAAAGGAAAGTTTAAGGGAAACTTGGTACTCCCTTTTACAATGAGTTACTACCCTAGAGTCCTCCTAATCTATTGTGTTGTCGTCAGTTTCCTACTTAAACTATCATATATCTCCAAAAAAAAAAAAACTTGAAGTATATCCTTTTAGTTATTAAAAAAATTCATGTTACTTTTTTGACAAAATGTGTGAGATAACTTATCTGACGGCGCGTGGGAGATAAAATTATCAAAAAAAATGGCCCCACCTAGGCATACTCTTAACGAATAATTAGTGTTACAAAATTTAATTTTCTTTATATTCTAGTTTTTTTTCTCATTCGTCCACCTTTCTTCTTCATTTTTATACCTTTTTTATTCCTTTCTCCTTATAGGTTCCATCTGAAACTTTTCTCTGCTCTTGTTTCTTCTTATTTTACTTTTCTTCTTCATTTTTTCTTTATTCATTTCTCCACAATTTTTCTTTCTTGTAGAACCCTAATTTTTTAAATCCGAACTCTTGTACAAAACTAAAATCCACGGTGAAATCGAAGGTTAATATAAAAATAAAAAAAGAGGTTGAATTGAGGTTTATTAGCGAAAATTCAGTTGGTAGGAAAGGTAACCATTATGAAGGAGATGGAAGAACAAAAGCCTTTACCTTTTTTCATTTTTTATTTTTTATTATTAGTTCAAATCCTTAATTAATTGAAACTTAAATTAGGCTTAATTAATTAGCCATGTGTGTAAACTTGGCACATTTAAAGTTAATGAGTGTGCATCACACCTTAAAAAATCAACGCGGGGGCAATAACTAAAGGAATATAATTTCGGGGATACCGAATAATTTAAGTAGAAAACTGAAATAGTTAGGGAAATTTTACGGTATTACTCCTTCTGTTTCAATTTAAATGACATATTTTTTTTATTAGGACGTTCAAAAAAGAACGACAGAATTATATTTCAAAATAAATTTAACTTTAAACTTTTTATTTACCTACTTTATCCTTAATGATGAGTTTTTATAGTGACAAAAATATTATGGTCCATAAATTTTTAGGACCATATTTTTTAAGGTTTTTTTTTTATAAATTTTGTGCCAAATCAAACTATTATCATGTAAATTAAAAAGGAGCACTCTTTTTTAATTTGTTTCCGATTGTCCAGGTTCAATTTTCTTTAAGAAATAAATCAGGCAACATTTCCTTCAACACAAACGAAATTTGAGTCACTAGACTCAGCCAGTGAGCCGTACTTGTTTCTCTGAATGCATAGGAAGAAGGCGCACAGTTATTTGTTGTGGGATAGCTGAATAGATTTATTATTCTTCCTAAAAGGTAACCTCTCACTCCTCCTCCAACCTTCTCACACACACACACACACACAAGCACAATTATGTAAATGCTGGGTCCTTTTTTTTCAGCATTTTCTGAAATTGATTGGGTAATCTGCAATTTGAAGTTGAATTTTGATAGTGTTAGCGGTATTTATCCTGCTAAAAGTGTGAAAAAGTAAAATAGGCTTTTGATGGTTTAATAGTAATTGCAAATGGATTTGGCCTCGTATTGCTTGCTCTGGAGCTGAATGATATATATAGTTCTGCTTGTTATGAAATCTAAAAAGTTTTGGTGTAATCAAACTTATGGTTTATCAAAGAGGAAAAAAGAAAAATAAAGCAGATTAGATACAGTGCAGAATAGTCATGACTGAGCCACTTCTGTTTCTTTGGATAAGTAATTGTTGGGCTCAACCAGCCCAATAACATTCTTAACATGGGGTGATATTGTCCGCTTTGGGCCAAGCCCGCACGATTTTCCGCAAAAAGTTCATGCCCTTAAGAGATCCCTACACCTTATATGTAGGCTCCCAATTTTTTCAGCTACCAATGTGGGACTTTGTTCGCACACTCAACAGTAATTTTATTTCATTACTAAAATCTGCACTTAAGGAAGGAAATGAAAAGATGCAAAAGGTGTTGATGTCCTATCCACATAGAAACCTTACCCTCTTCCATACATTACCGGTGGATGCTACGGCCGCTATCACTTTGGATGCCGGATGGGAATGAAGGTATGGAGGCAGGGAAGAAAAGATTATTCACTATTGGTTTACCCTTATATCAGGCCTTGGTTCGGCCAATACATGATGGATGAAGGTTTTTCAAGTTAAGAATGGATGGTACCTATAATCAGACCCAAGCGTTGCAGTACTTGAGAAGAAAGAAAATATTACTCTTTTTTTCTTAAGGCTACTACCGATTCCTTATTTGTTATCATGACGTCCTGTATGCAGGGTTGTACGAAAATCCCTTTGTAACTTCGTGGACGTCCATACTTTGTTCTTTAGTCTTTCAATTACCATATAGTAAAGGCTATAGGTCATCGGTTGTGACGTTTACCAAGGGTCAACCCCTTGGATTTTTACTCATGATTGATCCACTTTTTGGGTAATCTATAGCTTTCCTTTCTTTGTATGCTTCTTACATGAAATGGTAATAGAGATTTCCTTCCAGAAATTTCTTTTTGGGTCACAAAGACTTGTCTATCAAATATAGAGACGAGAAAAAAAATGCCTTCAAGAGTACTTTATCTAGTTTGAGATGCTGCATATAGTTTGACACTACGATACAACAAAAACAACAACGCAGTCTCGAATAGTTGGGGTGGCTATATGAATCTTCGCTGAACATATTTCTCCATTTAAGTTCAACTCATGTCCAGGGGTGGAGCTAGCGTGTAGTTTACGAATAGCTTTGGTCCAAACCCTGTCCTAAGGAATCCATTAAATATGTATAAATTATTAATTTAGGACCCAGCAACTTAAAAGAACTAGAATTCCAAAACCATAAACTTCAATTCCTAGCTCTGCCTCTGCTCATGTCATCATCGTACCAAATGAAAATAAAGTTTTTGACACTTTGATAAAGTGATACATATTTTGAGCCATGAGTTGTCTGCAGTAGGTCTTAATTTGAATAATATGTACACACAGCGGGATCCCCACAGATTCTTTCATGCCTGTCTCCTCTCTTTTCATAATATCTTATCATTAAGTTGGTTTCTAATTGCTTCTTTTATACACTTTACAGTTCATGGCTTATAGAATGGATGCAATAATGCTACAGTCTTTGCCAGCAGCCGAGACTGAAAGCATTGGACATTTGTTTGTTGTTTCAAGAAGTTCTGCTATCCTGGATCTCTCCAACAGACTAGAAGTAACTGAACAAATTTCAAAGTTTGGTGTAAAATGTGTGCTATCTCTTAATATTAGGTAACATTCAAATTGTTGCTTTTGAATCTTGGGATATCTACTTGATTTTATTTTGTCTGAAAATTAATTTCTTGCATGGTTTACACTTTGCTGCTCGAAACATTATCAGTTGCATTTCCAAAGTGCAGTGGAAGCCTTTATAAATTAAACTAGTTATTCAGGTATATCTTATGATGCAATTGTTGTTATTTCACATCGATAGAAGAAGCAGAAGCAAATTTTGCAAATCAATGTTTTTAATTCCAGAAGTTTGAAGGTATCAGAAGTCTTCCAGTTCCCACTTCTTGGCCAAAAGTTGGTGAAGGATAGAGTCCCCTCCCTTTTCCTCCCCACTTTTGCCACAGGTAGACGCTGCTTAAACCCTGTCTCTAGCTATGGTAGGCATGGGGTTAAGTAGGTGAGTGAAGGTTTAGTAGTTAAATGAAGTGGGTGCAAACCTTGGAGATTAGAATTCAAAACCCAGCACAGACAAAAAAACATTAAGTGATTTCTTCCCATCTGCCTAAGATGTTCAAAGTTACTTGTTACTTGTGCTAGTAGGAGATAGCAGGATAGCAGGTACTCAGTGGAAGCTTGCCCAGACACCTCCTCTATGGAAGGAAAAAAAAAACGTGAGGGGAGATCTTTGCTCTGGGTGTAGCAGTGTAAATCAACAGCCTAACAAAAAAATTCTTGGTGTGGTTTTCTCGCTGCCCTATATTTTGTTTTAGTGCCTGGACATTATGATTTTTTGTAGTGCCTGGACAACACAATTGTTATGTTATACCTTGTTAAAGCTACAAGCTTGTGATTTTGCACTTCAAACTCTGTGCCTGTACATATGTGCATTAGTTGGTCTTTCACTAATATCAATCAACTACGACTTAATCCCCCACTAAATCTTTATAGACCTCATATTTTTAAAAAACTATATCTTCCTATCTGTCTTGGCATCTAACACGATGTTAGTGTTTGTGTCTGCTACTTAAGATATCTAATTCTTTTTATGCTCTAAAAGTCTGTTTAATGTTTAGCCTGTACTAGGGATGAATCAGTCCTTTACCAACATATGAAGGCTTACTTAAATAAGAATTATGGCTTTGCTTTTCTCCAATTAACGTTAAATTGCTTTCTCTGAAACAATGCCAATAACATGCTGGAACTGTATGCTCTAGAAATTGAGTTCTAAATCATAGGACTGAACCGGAGAAAATCAACTAGAGGCAATTATGGTCAAATTATTTATTTATCTATTTGTCTTGCAGGTTGTGGGAAAAACATTTTCTTTTGCATGATTATATAACTTTCGTTTTGTAAAAACAGGTCGCAGACAAGAAGACGTGGATCAAGAATAGCATTTGCTTTGGATACAGGTAGGATTCCCAGCAGTGATGATCAAGATGGCCTCAATGGTGATGGCGGTGATTTAGGTGGAACTCGTTTGGGGAGGATAGTTGGTGGTGGAGGCAGGCAGCTGTTGGAGAAGCTCAATTCAGCTCGGAAAAATTTTCCGATGAAAGTATTTCTGCTTCTCTTAGGTTTTTATACGGCAAATGCCTTGGCGACAATCCTAGGTCAGACTGGTGATTGGGATGTATTAGTAGCAGGAGTCGTCGTAGCTGCAATTGAGGGAATCGGAATGCTGATGTATAAAAAGCCACCTTCTCTGCCTTCCAGGAGGTTGCAGTCTCTGGTTTCAATGGTGAACTACTGGAAAGCAGGTGTTATTCTAGGTCTCTTTGTTGATGCTTTCAAATTAGGAAGTTGATTTTCTCTCTAGCCACCTTAAATTCTTTTGTCCAAAATGATTGTCCACTCAATTACATCATTTTATGTATGTATCATACACTAGACTGCTCCGATGTACTTGAGGAAACATGTATATTAATAAATTGTTGTCCAATTCACTTGAGGATACCTTTCTGTTATATTTTGTGTCTGTGCTGTTGCAGTATCCTACAATACTTGTTTATTAATCTGAAGCTATTTAAATGTTAAGACATTTTATAACAAATTTTCAAATTGAATGCCTGCTGAGGGCAAGTTCTCTGTCTAGGTGCCATATGCTGATAAGGAGGTGCTAAAAATGTGTATTGTGTCAATTTCCATCCGTATGTTGGTCCATTCTGATCCTCACGCAGCATTCCAATATCCAGTTAAGAACGTAATAGAATTACAGTCAAACCCTCTCCATAACAACCCCTTTCGTTCCGTTGTTTTTTTGGCTTTTATAGTGTATGGTTGTTATACACCTATAACAGCATTTCACGTTTAAATATTTTTTGGCTGATAGGTAAAAATCATCCAAAAATTAATTATTTTTCTTTTTTTTTTAATGTTACAAATAAAAGATAAGATTATTCAAATTTAAAATCTCAAAAGATATGCATATTTCACTACTTAAATTTTGAAGAAAGCCAATGCATTACTAATAGATTCACAACTAAAAGTATGAAAATTTAAACTCCAAGGCAGACATTTTAAAGCTACCTAAAAAAATAAATCTTTTTTCTAGATTGATGGAAGAACTTTGTAATTGTAGTTTGTTTCGTAAATTTCATTCTCTTACTAGCGATATAACGCTTGAATGAGCGAAGATTCGTGTCCAAATTTTCAGCAAAAAGGTATTCAATAGCTTTCCCTGGAAGACAATCTAAAAGCTTAACAGTTAAATGTTCTATCAAAATATTTTTTAAAATTTATCCAATGGAAAAGATATCATGTGCAAATCTTCAAATCTTATGCAAAATAGAAACTTTATTTAATAGAAAAGATTGTATGCATATTTTTAGAATTATTATTAGTAATCTTAAAGATTCTACATGGCTGTTATAGAGGGGTAATTTTACGAAGAGCGTTCTACTATAAATATAGTTGTTGCTGTTATAGGTAAAAAAAAAAAAAAAAAAAAAAAAAAAAAACTGTTATAGCGAGGTAAAATATAACTTAAAAAATCGGTTCTGAGGAAAACTTGACTTTTATAGTGAATGGCTGTTATATAGAGATGTTATAGAGAGGTCTAACTGATGCCTTTCTGTACTCTGTAGTATATTTAAATAATTATTGTACTATAGGAAGGTTCATATATGAGCCGGTTCATATTTGATGATTGGATGTGTTGAAAGGGACTACGTAGAGAGTAACAGTAAGTACTTTGTAGTTCCATCTAGTTTAATTTCTTAAGCGTACTCTTAAGCATGTAATGGCTGAGGCTAAGGCGCTTCAGTTATCACGTATATGAGGCAAATTTGTTCTTTCGTCGTTATAAGATGTAATGGAAGGTCGGGCATAGCCCCCCCCCGTGACTTTGAATAAAAAAGAAAAAAAGAGAGAGATGCTGGGTAAAGAAATGGCCTTCTTAGCGTCAAAACACCACTTCTAAGTTTCAATTGCCTTATTGAGCACAAAGATAATTCTTTAATTGGACTTCTGCATGAAGTTCATTAACATTTGTCAAGGGAAGTTAATCAACATTTGTCAATTGCCAGCCCTGTTCTTGATATAGAAATTTGCTGTGATTCACACAAGACTCATATGAAATCTATCGAAAGATACATTCAATCTATTGGACCCCTATGAAATCTACTCATACATTAATATCGTAGTATAAACTGAAGGTGGAGTTAGATATGAAATTGAAGACCGAACTACTGTTCATTGATGCTTATTAAAAGAGTTCTTCTGTAAAAAGGCACTTAACGGAGTAGTTTCTTATTAGAGCACTGATATCCTTTAGCAAACAAGGGGTGTATCTCTTGAGAGTTTTGAGTACAGGGACTCCCCTGTTATAAAGATGTATATGTATCCGCGTCATAGTGAACCTCTCCTTCTGATCGGGATGAGGTAGATGCCTCCCAGCCAGGGGGCGGATCGAATCGGAGTTTCCTTAGGTAGCCACCGACCTATAGCTTTCCTTAAACTTCCGTGCTTGGTAGAGAAGCGAACAAAAGTACTATATCCCCATAAAAGACAGACGTAAACCTTGTTATTGAGTTGCAAAGGATTTTAAGGATTTAAAACGATAACTAAGGAGTTTAATCTCTTTGGTGATTTCCCACCTTCTAGTACAATACATACCCGGTTTATTTACATACCATATATGCTGGGAAAACTAAAAACACAGGGTGCTAATTCTGGGCCAAAAGGCTGCAAACCTTTTACTGATATATGAAATAACTGAGACCTACTCATTTCCCTTACAAGGGAAATGCCCTTCCAAAACAGGATTAGGGACGAACGAATACTATATGTAATACTACAGCCATAGGATTATCTGCAAATCCTGTTCTTCCACTAGCAGAAAGGTTGCATTCCAACTGCAACTTCACCAAACTTCAAATCCTAGGAGGCGAGATTCATTTTATCAGGTATCAAAGAGTCTAAATGTTGACCACCTGGCCTAAAAGTTCAGCAGCTGGTAGGAAAATCCTGCTAAACTTCTTTCTATGAAGGGGGCGAAAAAGAGCAAGGAGGATGGTAATGCACATCAAGAACACAAAGATACTGACATTTCCTCATTCCTCGGGAATTTAAAGGTTCTGCTGAAAATTCCATAAAGAACTTAATGAGAAAGTAAATTAAGTGTAAATCTTGGCATCTAACAATCAAAATTCATTTGACACGAGAAGGGTTCAAATTAATGTAAGCGGGGTCAAGAAAAGTAATGCACTTCGCGTCTAACAATCAAAATTCATTTGACACGAAAATGCCTCGTATTAATGTAAGCGGGGTCAAAAAAAGCAATGTGTTTCTAAATGCTCAATACTTAGGACACCTGCATAAAGGCAAGAAAATATGAAGGAACAACAAACATATGAGCTCTTTCAAAATTCTCCATTGTCTAATAACTTGTAAGGAAAAAGATTGATGCTTTCCATCTTCAGAGGTCTTGCACGCTCAAACCTACAAATCATAAAATATTCCATCTTTATGTTAAGTTCTTGAAAATCATGTACACACAAATAAAATGTATCATACATCGCAAGTGCAGTGACTTATAGCCGGTTTGGCCAAGCTTTTTTTAAGGGCCAAAAGTGCTTTTTTTGGCCAAAAGCACTTTTGGCCAAAATTTGAGGTGTTTGGCCAAGCTTTTGGAAGGAAAAAAAGTGTTTTTGAGGAGAAGCAAAAGCAGTTTTGGAGAAGCAGAAAAAAGTAACTCTCTCCAAAAGCACTTTTCTGAGAAGCACTTTTGAGAAAAATACACTTAGAAGCAGTTTTCAAAAGCTTGGCCAAACACTAATTACTGCTCAAAAGTGCTTTTCTAATTAATTAACCAAACACAAACTACTTCTCACCAAAAGCACTTTTTTTAAAAGTACTTTTGAGAAAAGCACTTCTCAAAATAAGCTGATTTTAGAAGCTTGGTCAAACAGGCTATTAGATATACCAGAAGGCAGAGACATACAGTGTTGTGTAGAGAATATCAAAATAAATAGCACAAAGCTAGCACGTCAGGAAATACCCACCTGGAGGAAGTGATTGCTTCAATTTGTCAGCTTTCTCAAAGTCGGACACACAAAGTGTGTAAAGGTACTTGGAGCAGCGAACCTTGAACTTGACCATATCCTTGTTCTTCTTTATCTTGACTGACCGTGCATCCTTCCTTCTAGCTGTGAGAAGGAAATCCTTGATCTCGTGTATTTGCTTCGGCTGGTATAAAAATGTTTGGTTAAAATTTCACATTTGTAGAGCAGATTAAAAAAGAAGAGACAGAAAAATGGAGCTCTCAGTAGGACCCAAGACCTAATCTCATCTAACCAAAGCATTTGTTAAACCAATCAATTGAGTTGAAACAACAACAGAACAAAAATAATGAATCACATCAATCTAGTTATGGACTATCATCAGTTTGCTTTCATCCAACTCAAGGGTGTAAAAAGCTACGAGGTAAAACAATTTTTTTTGTCAATTTTCCAGCAAACAATATAAACACAGACTTGTTTGGTAAATATACATGTTATAAGAGAAGTGAAAATGACCAAGGGACCTAAGATTATTACCTGAACCTGAATGCATAACCAAGTAATAACCATTAACCAGTTAAAAGAGTAATATTAATGAGTCAGTGTTTAACAAAGTTTTTTTTTTTTACTTTCTTTGATAATAAAGAAAGTGTAGCGGTAAAGTTGTCTCCATGTGACCTATAGGTCACGGGTTCGAGCCGTGGAATCAACCACTAATGCTTGCATCGAAGTAGGCTGCCTACGTCACACCTCATAGGGTGCAGCCCTTCCCCGGACCCCGCGTTAAAATGGGGTGCTTCACACACAAGGCTGCCCTTTTAGATAATAAAGGTCTATAATGAATTTCATGTGCTTTACTTTAACTAAAGAAAATCTACTAGTATATTTCTATTTTCTTTAACAGTGGTTAAGTGACAAGGTTTGTATATATATAGTAGAACATGACATACAATTATCAGTTGGTGCATATAGCTAGTACAGATAAAAGACAGAACAAAAACCTGTATTTGTCAAAGCAAGAAAAAGGCTGCTTCCTCCATTCATCAATTACTTAAAACAGATCAGCAAAATGAACCATCCCAAATAGCACAATGTTTTCTTAGAAAGTAACATAATTACTGCTAGCGAAAGGAAAAGAGAAATTTAAAAAAAAAAATTAATAACACATAATATCTAGCAGTCTGGCAATTTCCTAAGGTTTACGTCCAATTAATTAGTAAATTCCAATTCTGGCCCAATTTTGGCCCAACTTCCCCGAATCATACTAACCAGAAAATCAAGCTATGCAATTAGCAACTGAAAACTGCTACAGATGAGCGCTCATCTAAAATCGCAAATGGAATCGATACAATTTTAAAAAAAAAGGAGTATGACACTATCAAAATTGAACCGTAAAAAAACAAGGCAAGTAAATATCCAGAAAGCAGGGTGAAAGATTGGGGGAAAATGTACCATGTTTGGGGCTGAGATGGGGAGGATACCAAGTTCTAGCGCCGCTGAGACGGGGAAGACGTAATAATGGTGGTGTTATAAAAAGGGTGCCTAAAACCCTAGTGGCAGATTTCCGAATTTGTCCCTACCATGATATTCCAAAATTGCCCTCGCCGCTCCCTTCTCTGCCCTCTTTCGTCTGGACATATTCAATTTTTTAGTAAGTTTTCAATAAACAAAATTTTTGTTCGTGTAACTTTTTTTCCTTTTTCCCGAAACTCATCTTCAAAATATTATTTGATTATATATTTAACCGAGATTTTGAAGATGGGTGTCGAAATTTTTTGATAAGTTCCAAATTTGAAAAGTGAGTTTTACCTCTTTTTTAAGTAAATAATGTTTCCTCTTTTAAAATTATAATTTTTTACCAAGTAAAATTCATGTTCAAATACAACAACAACGGAAAAGAAAACTCAATAAGTTTTCTCAAGTGGACCTGGGAAGAGTAGCGTGTATGCAGACCTTACCCCTACCATGGGAGGGCAAAAAGGTCACTTTCGATAGACATTGGGCTAAAGACAAGATGAAAAGAATCAGTGACAACAAATGGTAATAACAACAATGTATCAAGAAAACTAAAACGAAAGAATGCAATCAAATAGTAGATAGTACCAGCAATTCAAGAATAAACAGATATCTTGCTAACACTATTGCTACCGATCTTAGAAAGAAAATTGAAACACGCGGCTGCCTGCTAATTGCCCGTCCTAATTCTTGACCTTCTCGCCCTCCTATCAAGGGTCATCTCCTCTAAGCTGCAGTTGTGACATATCCCGCCTAATCACCTCTGGCCTGCCTCTACCCCTCCTCATACCCACCAAGGCCAACCTCTCTCACCTCCTAATTGGGGCATCTGTGTTTCTCTTCTTCACATGCCCGAACCATTTCAGCCTCATTTCCAGCATGTTATCCTCCACGGGGCCACTCCTACTTTTTTCTGAATAACTTCATTCCTAATCTTATCTAACTTGGTATGCCCACACATACATCTCAACTACTTTCATTTTCTGAACATGAAAGTTCTTGACTGGACAACACTCCATCCCATACAATATCGGTTTAACCACCACTTTGTAGATGAAATGCATATCCACATATAATTTAAATTTTCAAATACTTTTTTACAACTTAACTTCAAAAATTCCTTTTTCATATCTCATATTTTTTTATCCAAAACCTACTTATAGTGTTAATTTTAAGCCACAAATATTTAACTTCAAAAATTCCTTTTTCATATCTCATATTTTTTTGTCCATAGTAATTATTGCAATCACTTTGGATTACATTGCTGGTCCAAATCATCAGTCTATAAGTGCATATTTTCAACCAAAACATCAAAAAAAAAAAAATGAATAGTCATACATGTAAGATAAAACTTTATCAGAGATTGAAGTATTGGTACGTCTTTTATTGCATTAAACGCAGAAATTGGATAACAAAAAGAAAAATAACAAAATAAGAAACAAACATATAGATAACGAATCAAGCAGTCTATCCCTCAATTGTTCTAAAATACTGTTACTTGTCACCTCAACCAAATTTTTCTTTATAAATCTATAGATTATCTTATATTAACTGATTTTCTTATGCAAATCATGATTCTCTAAGCAGGTCTTATACTCAATTTTCAAATAAGAATTATACAATCTAATTACCTGCAAAAAAAATTTACAAGAAATACACGACGTATTCACCTTATATACTATGAAAAAATAGACCATCAAAATTTAATACTCACTTTATTTACAGTTGTTAACACAACGTAAATCTTTACAGCAAAAAATGGCAGAATCGCCATGGCCCTCTCTCTTCATGCAAATACTTACAGTGGTATTTACATTAAGAAAGGTAGAGTCTTATTCAGGCAAAAGCATTAATCGGAATGCTGCTTATTTACAACTAAAACTATTATCAGCTTCCCATAAAAGCAAATGCCGAAAAAAGATCATTTTAGAAGTCAAGACACCACCATGCTTGTCAGCTGTACACAATAAGTAGTAACTTCAATTCTTCAAAACTGGATTGCCTCGAGAAGAATTCATCGATAAGGCTATGTGTTTCTCTGAAAAAGAGAACATAATGAAGAGTTGTGAGAAGCAGCTTGAAGAATGTGTGCCTAAAGGCACTTACTGTAAGCATATTCAGAGAGTTTCGACAACAAGGCTACTGACCTCCTGTTGTTATGAGCTTCTCAACACGAGATACGATATGTTTGCCATAAGTGTATTTCTTGAGAGCATTAAGGTGTACTCTAATGCGCGAAAGAATTAATTCACGGCTTTGATCATCACAGGTTTCAAGAACCTTCTGCACAACATAGTTTCCAAATGGATCCTTCATCATAGCCTACATTCAACAATTGAAATGATCAAGGGTAAAACTAGATTGAACAACATCTAGAATTGAATGAACTAACTTTGCTGCTGATGACATATACGCACAAAAAGAAACAGGAAAAAGAAAAAGCAAGATATGTTTCTCTTCTTTCTTTTCTTTTCCTTCCTCGCATGTGAAAATGAAGTTCCTACTCAGAACGAACAGTTTGAACACCGATGGACTTTGTGCAAAAGCCATCTCGAGAAAGGATGTTAGGACATAATAACTAACAGAGGTATGAACTTAAACTAGAGGTGCTCAAAAATCCCATTAAAGAAAGAAGACAAATTATGTAGATATCCACTGGCATAATGCAGACCATACTGAGCAAATGTGGCTGAGATTGTGGGATGAAAGGTGGAGAAGTGACTACCCCTGGGAACAAAACACAAGGAATCTGAATAAGGAAAAGCATCGCTGAGAAGTGTAGAGAAGAGACCCCACGGAAGAAGCAATATCTTTCAGTCTGGATGCATTACCACCTTTTCGATGCCCTTATTTTCCATAGCATCAAAAGTGGAAAAATAGCTAAACAAATGGAGGAAAGACTTTCTGTGGGAGGGAAACTGTGAAAGGAGGAGATTGAATTCAATTAGATCATACGTTCGTGGATAATAGAGATGGAGATATTAGAGTAAAGAATTTGAATTCCTCCACAACAAAAAGTTCCCCGCTTAAATGTCAGTAAACTAAGATGTAATGATGATTGATGACAAGGATGAATTATGGAAGAAGTGTTAAACTATAGAATATGGGGAAGGAAGACTATCTGGTATACTGAACAATATATGGTTAAAGAGAAAATATAGATGTTTTTAGGAGAGGAAAGCGCTCATCTCTCATGTAAAGTTTAGATGTCTTCGAACTTATACTTTCCACGTAGGAGAAACAAAGTAAAGGGGTAATTGCACTTTTGATCCCTCTGTTATTGGTAAATTCCAATTTTGGCCCTCCTGATGATATTTCAGTAAGCATATTTAACCTTGAATTATTTAAAATGTATACTTTTGATCCCTTTACATATAAAAAATATGTTATATTTAGATTATTTTAGAACCCTATTACCCTCAAATATAGAGTAACAGTACAAAATTTAAACAAATTATGGGCAATTAAATGGTTTAACAGTTAATAATTTATTAATTTTTTGAAGATTCACAAGCAGAAGGATCAAAAGTGCACATTTTAATTGATTGAAGGTTAAATGTGTATAACCATAATCATAAGGACCAAACCAGAATTTGTTGCAATGAAGGACCAGAGGTGCAATTTTCCCATATTGTAAATGACATCAAAAATATGTTGGACTTAGTAGACTCCTAACAATCATACAAGAAAGGGCAGCCCGGTGCACTAAGCTCCCGCTATGTGCGGGGTCCGGGGAAGGGCCGGACCACAAAGGTCTATTGTACGCAGCCTTACCCTGCATTTCTGCAAGAGGCTGGTTTCCACGGCTTGAACCCTTGACCTCCTAGTCACATGGAGGCTACTTTACCAGTTACGTCAAGGCTCCCCTTCCTAACAATCATACAAGAGGAGGAGTTAAGTTCAATGATCTTGTATATTACCAATATTAAAAATGTCGATATCCACTGAGAAGGGGTATGTGTAGCTAAGCACTTATTAATTATCTTTCAGGTTTATAAGGGCATTTTAGGGGTAGATCCACTAAAAAGATAGAATATTCACACACCTGTAGAGGCTCATTTTCATCGGTCAAACCAAGCATTTCATTCACCAGGATCTGACGTTCCTCTGGACTGGCAAATACCAAACACTTCTCGACGACATTAGAAGCAAATTTATGCTGACTCATCTTCACAATTTGTCCAGTAAGCTTGGTTATTATAGTAGACCTCTCATGTGGTTTACCATGTTGCAGCACATGCTAATCAAGAGGAAAGATGAACTTCACGACCCAAAATGGAAGAACAATTTATATGTAATACAGAAAGCAAAAAATTTCATGGTATCTACTTCAGACTTCTAATATTACTGAAAAAGTGATAACTGATACACTAGTGAAATTAAGTATTCGTAATCACTCTAGCAGCAAATAGAAGTTTGACACAAATATTATTAGAAATATATGCAGACAGAAATCTAAAGCAATATCCACAGAAGAATCCTTTATGCAATAGGAAAGTGTCTGTCGCATAGAAACAATGTCATCAATATATATGAGTTTGAAGACATCCATGGCTTGAGTGCAGATTGTCAAAGAAAATTATTGGTATAGTTTCCAAATTTAGGTAGATACTACTTCTAATATGCCTCACTTCTGTTTCTGAGAATTATTTGCTCATTCTCTTTGCATATATCTTCAAAGAGAAGTATAGAACATAAAGGAAGAGATGGGATCAAGAAAACAGGCGTGTGTGCGAAACTATCATCAACTGCAAACTATCCTCACACCCTATTCTCCTTCCCTTGGGGCACTAAGGAAATCTATGAGCATCAGAGAGATGTTTTAAGGTCACACGTAAAAAATCATATCCGGCTTCTTACAACTAGATAAGCAGCAGATTGGAAACAACTTCAAAATATTAGAATAAATAAAAGGCTCCGTGTAACAATATCTGCAGAAGGACTGATTAGTGGGCACAGATGTCAAGTTATGATTGCGTATCAAGAACAAAATCTCTATATTTAAGTCAGTACCTGAACGACATAGTTCCCATACTGATCCAGCA